TGATCCCTATATTTGGCATCTCTCAGCAGGTTTGTATTTTGCAAAAATATTGTATTTCATGGTCACTTTTCAAGTATAGTTCCATATAAAGTACAATACACCAGTCAGACTGTAAACTAAGGCATGGACTAGATAAGAAAAAATCAGTGGGCACATTGACCACAGTTTTGAAAATGAACCTCTTGCTACAGCTCCAAACATAATAATATCTGTCAAGAAACACACCAAACTGCAAAGCTAGTGCTAAGTATTTGGTATATTTATATGCAAATAAGATGGGAAAACTAGAGCTTTCTGACTGGTTCAAAGTGTTTTTGTTGTTATTGTTGTTGTTTTTCCTGAAAATTTTTGTCTCTGAGAGGAAATACAATTTTTTTTCATTCCCCTAAGTTATATAGAGGTTGCTTTAAAATTGAATTGAAAGATGTTAAAATGGCCATGGTGGGATGAAATCTCTATTCATCACTTTCAGACCTGTCAGAAATTTTATGTTGTTTCTTCTGTGACTTATGGGAGACTGGGATAGCACTATTTCGGCCTTTTTAGGCCTCTTCAGCCAGACACACCCATATTTTGTGACTCCTCCCTGTAGAGGTCAAATATTTATTTCTTTTGATTCATAGGTATAAATGTGCGATATTTTTGCAATCAGGGTTTTTTCCTATGTTTTCCTAGGTTTTTTCCTATATATGTCTTTTTCTTTTTCGTAGGCTTTTATGTGCATATTCTTTCTAGCCAGGTTTTACCTACGTAAACTAAGTTGTTTTGCAGCTCTGGTTGTGTGAAATCTCATTCACAAGCTTCAGGGCTTTTTTTCTGTTGACAAACTGCAACTCTGTGTTGCTCTCTGGGAGACTCAGATAGCTATTTCTGCCTTATGTGATAATATGCACATAAAAGCCTACGAAAAAGAAAAAGACACATTATACCTTTACAGGGGGAATATCTGAGAAGTGGGTGTGGCTCACCGACGAAGCCTTATAAGGCAGAAATAGCTATCTGAGTCTCCCAGAGAGCAACACAGAGTTGCAGTTTGTCAACAGAAAAAAAGCCCTGAAGCTTGTGAATGATACATACATACATACATACATACATACATACATACATACATACATACAAAAAATTAAAATCTCGGGTGTAGCCTGAAGATGACAGGGTGTGAGCCTGTCGAAAGGTTTCTTTAAGAAAAACTTTTAAACTGGTAGGATTTTAGCTGAGGTTTTAAAGGACCTTGCAGAGTGCTCTGTAAGGAATTTTAGAAGATTTTAAGCTGGGATTTTAACCAGGATTTTAAATATTTTAACCAATTTATTTATAATGTTGCGGGAAAACACCCAAGATTTTAATTTTTTGCATATGCACACCCGTGAAAACTTAAGAAGAAGTATATATATATATATATATATATATATATATATATATATATATATAGCCAGGTTCTTCCTACGTAAAGGAAAGAAAACGTGTGTGTGTGTGTGTGTGTATTTGTTTTCTGAGGTTTTGAGGTTTCTGAAGTATGTATGTATGTATGCATTTCTCTTTATATATGTATTTCTCTCTATATATATGTTTTTCTTTTCGTAGGCCTTTATGTATATTTCTCTTTAGCCAGGTTCTTCCTATGTAAACCAAGATTTTTATGCAGCTCTAGTTCAGTGAAATCACAATCCACTAGTTTCTAGGCTTTTTTCTGGCAGCCAGCAAGAACCCTGCTGCCCATTGGGAGACTAAGGAGACTAAGATAGATCTATTTTGGACTTATTAGTCCTCATCAGTTAGCCACACCCTCATCCCATGTATCCTCCCTGTAAAGGTACAGTATTTGTTTTCTTTTTTTTCCCGTAGGCCTTTATGTGTATTTCTCTTTAGCCAGGTTCTTCCTATGTAAACCAAGATTTTTACGCAGCTCTAGTTCAGTGAAAGGGTGCTTGCTGGCTGCCTGAAAAAAGCCTAGAAACTAGTGGATTGTGATTTCACACATCTCTGGTGTGGGGAATTGGTGCGCTGGTGCGCTGGCTGGGGGATTCTGGAAGTTGAAGTCCACCCATCTTCAAGCTACCAAGGTTGAGAAACACTGCTTTAGAGTAAGAACATTTACATGTTCTAAGGGAAGAGCCCCCCTGTAGTGTTGATTATCATGGTAATATATTAAAAATGTTCAATTTGTTTTCCATAAAATAATCAAGCTTATAAGAAGCAATGAATTGTCAGGATTCCATGGACTTACAACATAGAATCTTTATAGACGTTTAGACAGATGGTGTTAACTATAAACCTGCAGTTCCCTTTAATAGCTTGTCTTCCATTAGATCAGCCTGGAAAATCTTCATCCTTGGAGTTGAATGAGGCAAAAATTTCCATCCAGTTCAAAAGCAATATTTTCCAGATTCCTTCCTTCTCTCTCGTCCAGGACTCATTTTCTGAAATCTATTTTGCCTCTTTTCTCATTGTAAAAGTGAGAAAGAGAATTGGTTATGAGAGAAGGACTTTATCAATTGATAACTACCTGGATTATGTTGCAATTCAACTATTGACTATAATTTTTCCTCATTCTTTCATTAGATAATTAAGTCTATTTCTAGAAAGATGAGGGAAGGTAAAGTAAGGTAAGGTAAGGACAGGACAGGACAGGACAGGACAGGACAGGAAAGGAAAGGAAAGGAAAGGAAAGGAAAGGAAAGGAAAGGAAAGGAAAGGAAAGGAAAGGAAAGGAAAGGAAAGGAAAGGAAAGGAAAGGAATAGTATTAAATTTCAGACTAATCAACCTCTGGCTGTTCTACTGGTAGATAAAACCTTTTCATTTAAAAGTAGTGTCACTAGCAGAAAAAAAATTGTTTGTTGTTGTTCTCTATATGTGCTCTGGCAGAAATAATGATTCTACAGAACACTGTTCCTTTCATTTTTGCACCAGATGCAAATATTTTTTTTTCTTCTTGTCTTGATTCAATTGTTCATTGGGGCCAGAGGAAGTATATTATGATGCGACTGTTTCTAAAAATTCTGTAAGACACAGATGAGAGCTTACAGAGAGGGTTAAGGGGCTGGTGGGAATTAGCCATTGCTTCAGTAATGCTTTCTCTGTAAGCAGCCAGGCAAGGGAAAACAGAAAGTGGCATCTGGAACACATTTAAAGTCAATCAACCTAAATACAAGTGAGCAACTCTGCAGAGCGGGTGATTCAGAAGTGGATAGCCTCTAGCTCAAGTGGAAAATAACATGGAAATGAAGGGAAAACCCAGACAAAATCTGTACACCTAGAATTACCTATATGACTAGAAAAGAATACATATATCTAGTGGCCCAAAGTCACCTAATTGGTTTTCATGCCTAAACTGAGACTAGGACTCACACTCTCTTGGTTTTTAATCTATTGCTTTGATCACTAGACCAAACTGGCTTGATGGTTTTAAAAGAATCAAATATGGAGATGGTAATGTGCATTATGTTTGTTACTTTGAAGTATTCTAAACCAGTCCATTTGGAGACCATAATGTTATTTCCTGAACATGAAGCATTGGATTTCTGATCTAAAGACCTGCCCTAATGTCACTATTTGTAACCAACAGAATAGCTCATCTTTAGTGAATAAATCTAGCTTCACTGATCACTAATGGGCTTCTAATTCAAGGTGCTAGTTATCACATATAAAGCACTTCAGAGCCAAGGGCAAGGAAAAATACTTCTTTTCCAAAATAATTCTCTTCACAAGATCTTATGCTTAATGTAGGCATTGTTCCAGAAAACTTCAAATTCCAGAGTTTTGGAATGTAATTTAACAGGACATAAGTATTTTAATCATTCAAATATTTCCCAATAAATCTTTTTACATATATTAAAATGGTTCAGAAAAACACCAGTGACTCATATGATTTAAGTTTGCCAACAACAACAACACACACATACAAAATCTGATTTCCATCCCTTAAAGTACATTCCTTGGGGAGTCCAATATATGTAAAATAAAATCTTTTGATGAATCAATTTTAATCTTAAATCTGATGATTATGGGAGATGTGTAATCAAGTCCCAGAAATGTTTCTTTGCATGCAAAACATCCTGACAACTAGGAACATCTTTCCATGCAGCTCCATAAATTGTCCAGAGGATATGCTGCTTTAACACTTTTTAAGTGGAAAAGTTAAAAGCAATTAATTTTTTCTTCCTTAAGCCTTAAAAAAAAAAGAAGCTCTATGGGAATAAAGCTTAGAATTTCCCTAAACCTAGAGTTTAGCCAAGCATCTGCCTGTTGTTGGACGTCAATAGCAAAGTATTTTGGGAAGAATAATAGTTAAGGGGCTTACCTCAAATTCATAAAAATGAAATAATGAGTTCCATGCAGAACAACTTGGAAATGTAAGAAAACCAATATACCTCATACTGGTGTGTGTATATACAGTATGCATTATCTCTCTGTGTGTACCTAATATATAAATTAAATGCAGAACATTTTGAGTCTGATCTATTTTTTTCTGGAATCTGGATGTTCAATAGTCCACATTACTTTCCACTGGAATTTAACATCAAAGTTAGTGTTATGCAGCTGTCAGTATCAGTGGGGAAGGGAGTTTCCTGGATTTAAGCCTTCCAATTGATAAATATGGTGTTTCAGAGTGCACTGATAGTTGTAGGCTACTGACAATTTTTTTTGTACACTCTGAGAAGTGCATCTTGTCATCATAAGTCTAGTGAGGCAATATGGCTCAGTACAGGAAATCAGCAGGACAGTGTGGCCTTGATGCACTTACTGTATTATTCAGTCTGGCATCCAGTTTATTTGCATGGCAGCTGTTCATCCAGACAGGGGCCACAATATTCAGCTGTAGAGCAACACCAGTCCCAATGCTAATGTTCCGAGAATAGAGGCAGAGAGACCCCATTTAGTTCCACAAAGTTTATAGAACATTATTTCTGGTATTAATTTGTGCTGCAGTATTCTCTGTGTTGTTTTTTGTAAGAGACAGATCGATCCAGAATTACACCAAGGTATTTTGGAAAGGTGTTATAAGGCAATAGGATGTTATTGAAGTATAGTTTCTAACTTTTTTTTTTTTTGCTTGTTTGTTATTAAGGTGGAAATACATTGTTTCTGTTTTGCTCATGCTTGGGATGATCCTCCAGTCAACAAAGAACTTCCCCAGAACTTTTAGGTTCTCTGTGAGGGAGCTGTCAGCATCCTCCATATGTTTATCTTGGGCTGCTTCGGCTACGTTATCCATGCAAACAAATTTCCATCCTTTGGTAACTGGCATGTCAAATGGGTTGAACAATGTGGGAGCCAGCACAGAGAGCTCTGGTAGGCCATTATTTAATCTTGCTTTTTTCCCCTCCCATTATTGTTTGAAAAATCCTGTCTCTCAGCGTATTATTAATAAGGTGAATAGTCTTCTGACATGGGGATGATCAGTTGTAGTTTGTATAATAAACCTTCCTTCCAGACTATGTCATAGGTCGCAGTCAGGTCCACAATAACTACTGTTTTTGTAAACCGTAGTTTACAAATGAGATTTTAAGGCCTCGTTGGAATCCTGCTTCAGTGTGACTTGTTAGGCTCACCTGGTCTTCACAGTTTCAATTTTGTTAAATAGGAAAATGTTCTTCCATTGTGAGCTGATCCTGTTTAGGAGCAATCTTTCTAAGAGTTTATAGCAGGAGTTTAAAGGGGCAATTGAATGGTAATTTTCTACCCTGTCTTTTGGTTTGCCTCGTTTTAAAACTGATATCACTTTGGCTTTGTTGCTGGAAAACTCCAAATAGGATCCTCACCTTGCATGGCATCTGTCAAGACTCTCTGTTTAAATTAGGCAGAGTATCCTCCCCTGAATGTGACTGTGGTCCTCCTTGTCAGACACTGGATCATACTGCGCTACATTGGATAAATGGCCTAGATATTAATTATATAGAACATTTATTCTATTATGAATCAACATGTATTAAAATGTAACCTGTCACACACACACACACACACACACACACACACACACACACATATTTGTCTTCTTAAGTTTTTGCGGGTGTGCATATGCAAAAAATTAAAATCTCGGGTGTTTTCCCGCATCATTATAAATAAGTTGGTTAAAATATTTAAAATCCTAGTTAAAATCCCAGCTTAAAATCTTCTAAAATTCCTTACAGAGCACTCTGCAAGGTCCTTTAAAACCTCAGCTAAAATCCTACCAGTGACTTTAAAAGTTTTTCTTAAAGCAACGTTTCGACAGGCTCACACCCTGTCATCTTCAGGCTCTGTTTCATGTAGAAGCTATGGGTTCTCTGTTGCGGGGCCGGAGCTGTCGCTTATCTATATTTGCTGATGCTGACGTATGCTGGCTAGCCTGCAACTCTGTGTTCTGATTGGAGGACAACAGTTTTTCTTCCTGCTTTCTCCTCCTAGCTACTTGGCTTCGTGTTACAGGCCCAGCTTTCTCAGATTCTCTATTATTATCTGTCTGCTGTAGAGGGGAAAGGATTCTGGTAGGCATCACAGCACCCTTGATTGTTAGTTGAGATCTCAGCCTATCTTCTGGCTCGATCCTCTCTCTCACCCTCTCCCAAAGGGTGGCTAGCAATAGGGAGAGAGAAAAGTCTAGAAAAGGGCGCAACTGGCGCACAAGACGCACCTGTGCGAAGGCCCCCCTGGTTATGGCCATCAGATGGTCATCCAAAGACAGCCGAGAATCCAGGAGGACACCCAAATTGCGGACCCTATTGGAGGGAGCAAGAGTCTCTCCCCCGATCACTAAAGATGGAACCTCCAAATCCCAGGATGCTGGTATCCACAGCCACTCAGTCTTGGAAGGGTTGAGTCTAAGTCTGTTCCTCCCCATCCAAACCCACACCACTTCCAGGCAGTGGGACATCACGGAAAGGGCATCCCTAGGGTGGTCAGGGGTGGAGATGTAAAGCTGGGTATCATCAGCATATTGATGATACCTCACCCCAATATGTATGTATGTATGTATGTACGTATGTATGTATGTATTATGTATGTATTTCTCTTTAGCCAGGTTCTTCCTACGTAATCCAAGATTTTTATGCAGGTCTAGTTCAGTGAAATCACAATCCACTAGTTTCTAGGCTTTTTTCTGGCAGCCAGCAAGTACCCTGCTGCCCATTGGGAGACTAAGGAGACTAAGATAGATCTATTTTGGACTTATTAGTCCTCATCAGTTAGCCACACCCTCATCCCATGTATCCTCCCTGTAAAAGTACAGTATTTGTTTTCTTTTTTTTTTCCATAGGCCTTTATGTGTATTTCTCTTTAGCCAGGTTCTTCCTACATAAACCAAGATTTTTATGCAGCTCTAGTTCAGTGAAATCACAATCCACTAGTTTCTAGGCTTTTTTCAGGCAGGCAGCAAGCACCCTTTCACTGAACTAGACTATGGGATTCTGGGAATTGAAGTCCGCCCATCTTCAAGCTACCAAGTTTGAAAAACACTGCTCTAAAGCAATGATCCCTAATCTTTTTGGCACCAAGGTCCAGTTTCATTGAAGACAATTTTTAAATTTCACACATGAACTGATGTTTGCTTGTCTGCCACTTACACAGCCTGGTTTCTAACAGGCCATTGACTGGTAGCAGTCCAGAGCCCAGGGGTTGGGGGTGGGGGCTGCTCTAAAGATTTTGACAAGAATCAGATCCAATGCTTCTAGTGCAGGAATATCATCTTTCTGAATGTGTTGCCCAGAAACCAGTGTTAGAGAAATGATTTTTCTGGTACTAGAAGCACTAAAAAATCATGGTGTGAAAGCCTAACCTTAATTTGTGTAGCACCTTTTAAAACCTTTGAAAATACAAATCATTACTGAACCCCATTTGGAAAGAAAAAAAATACTTTTACTATATATTGTGTGAAAAAGACTTTTTTAAAAAAATAAAGTCTGTCTTGAATTTTTTTTTACTATTCAGTTTAATTGGCATTATGAGAAAGGATGAAAGGGTCCTTATTCATTTTTTCCACACAAACATAATTTTATATGATACTATCCTGTATTTCTTATTCAATCTTTTTTCTATCCAAACTAAAACACCTTAGATGTCATGTCTGAATCATTTTTCTATGCTTTTTCTGTACTTTTTATACTTTACCACATCTTTCGGAGAAATAATGATAGGAATTCTAGGTTGAACAATATCTTTATATAAAGTAACAGTATAGAAAAAGAAACTTTTTGCCAATTCTTCAATCTAGGAGGAGACTTCAAACTTGCCTCTTTATTTAAGCATATGATCTTAGAGTTTCTACAGAACTTTAACATGGGAGTAAGTACATATACATGGATGAGATGTTCAGCAAAAAGAAGTAGTGGGTACCGGATATCACTTAGAATGACTATTGTTCCACCAATATAAGGCTACAGGTACTCCTCTACTTACAACCACAATAAGGATTAGAAAATTCATTGTTAAGAGACGTGGTCATTAGGTGAGGTCACACATGACTGCATTCAATTTTACAACCGTTTTTTACCATGGTCGTTAACTGAGTCACCATGGTCATTAATCAAGGCATCAAGTGACTACAATTTGCAGCCCATCCTGCCAGCTTCCCTATTGATTGTGGAATGCTGCAACCAATTTAAAAGTTCAATGGTTGCCAAACACCAAAATCTGTATCACGTAAGTGCAGGGATGTTGCAATAATTGTACATGTGAGGACTAGATCACAAATCACCTGTTCAGCACCATTGTGACTTTAAACAGTTGCTAAATAAATATTTGTTAAGTGAGGGACTACCTGCACTAACATACAGCTAGAGGAAAAGAGCAACTCATACTTTGCATATTAACTATTCATTTAGCCAGAGAATACCTATATCCAATTGGGATGTGGTGGCTCAGTGGCTAAAATGCTGAGCTTGTCGATCAAAAGGTTGGCAGTTCGGCAGTTCAAATCCCTAGTGCCATGTAATGGGGTGAGCTCCTGTTACTTGTTCCAGTCCTGTCAACTGCTAGCAGTTCGAAAGCACATAAAAAATGCAAGTAGAAAAATAGGGACCACCTTTGGTGGGAAGGTAACAGTGTTCCGTGCGCCTTTGGTGTTTAGTCATGCTGGCCACATGACCACGGAGACATCTTCGGACAGCGCTGGTTCTTCAGCTTTGAAATGGAGATGAGCACCGCCCCCTAGATTCGGGAACGACTAGCACATATGTGCAAGAGGAACATTTACCTTTACCTTACCTATGCCCATTTATACTATCTGTATTCTGATGACAGTATTTAAAGAAAGAAAGCACTTATTGAAATTCAAGCAGCAGCACCATAAAATGCATCTTAGAAGAAAATAAGAATAACATGCGTGGCTGGACTAAAATAGATGATTGAAGCAAAATTTTGTATTGATTAAGCAGTAATTGACATTCAACCCAACACAATTATAAAAAAAGGTATCATTAAATTTGCTGTAGTTGTAAGACTATTGGAAGCTATGTGAAATCAAGAAGTTGAGTAACGATGCCTAAAAGTCATAAATTATACCAGCAGCTAAGCAGTCAGCAAATTGGAAGGTTATAGGGATTTCTCTTCAAATATGTTGTGTATGTTGAATATTCTGATGCGTACTTCCAAACAAGGCAAAGGAAAATGTTTTAATGTATTTATCTGATTTAAAAAGATATTCTGCTAGAAAGGTGATTTTCAAATAATAGATGAAGGGAAGAAAGCAAAAATGTAAGGTTTTTTTTTTAAAGGAAAATAAAACGGAGTAAAGATAGTTGTGATTCCTAAAATTGCATCTTCCTTCTGTAAAGTGTATCAGCAAAAAGAAGAAAGTGCATTCAAACATTCCTTCCAGAGAACTTACTTTACTTCTAAACAGCTGAAAAATAAGGCTTTTTTCTCCTGAGTTAGCTATAGATCAGTGGTGAAATTCAAATTTTTTACTACCAGTTCTGTGGGCATGGCTTGATGGGTGTGGCTTGGTGGGCGTGACAGGGGAAGGATACTGCAAAATCTCCATTTCTACCCCACTCCAGGGGAAGGATACTGCAAAATCCCCACTCCCTCCCCACTCCTGGGGGAAGGATATTGCAAAATCTCCATTCCCACCCCACTCTGGGGCCAGCCAGAGATGGTATTTGCTGGTTCTCCAAACTACTCAACATTTCTGCTACCGGATCTCCAGAATCTGGCAGAACCTGCTGGATTTCACCCCTGCTACAGATGTATATTTCAGGCAACTCAGGAAGAGGAAGGCTCTTTCCTTCTTAATTGTTCCTCACATCCTCACATACAGCTTGATTGTCAATATAGAATATTAGTACAACCCACGCTCCACTGGTTGCCAGTCTGTTTTTGGGTTTAGTTCAAGTTCCTGGTTATCTATACATTACTAACATTTCTGCTGTTTGTCTGTTTGTAATCTTCAATTGGGCAAAATTGAAGTGCAGCATCGGGCAAAAGTTTTTGAATCAAGGTACCTAAAATAAGCCGACTTAAAGAATGCATCCAAAAACCTGAACCCATTACTCCCATATAATTGAAATTTCAAGGAAATTCACCCCAGTTTGCAAAGTTGTAGATGCTGCACAATTGCTGTGGCTAGGCACCATCATGTGCTCATGAATTTCAACTACACTTACCCAAAAATTGTAGGTTGGGTGTTGCAAGGGCAGAAATAAACCTTCCTATTTTCCTGCTTTCCTTTGCTTCTACCGAGAACTGAGAGTGAAAGTTGAAATCTCTTAATGGCAATAGACAACAAGAGAAGGATAAGGGAGTAATTTGGATGCCTGCTGGTGACATAAGGCTAGCAAAAGAATCCCAGAAGCCTATAATTGAGCCCTCTTCTTCCCTGGTGATAGGCAAGCCTTTGAAACACGGCTTCTAAATAGCTTGGGAATCTACCTATCTATCTATTAAATCTATTTGGCTTAATGCTTCAAATAGAATCTGCCTTCAATCCTGCCTAGCCAACCAAACTTTGCCTACGCAATGAATGCTTGCACGGAGTACTTGCTGACAATTTCCATCCTATGGTCTCTGGGATCACGAAGGGCTTTGACATTATGAATTGACAATGCTTAATTATCAGAGATAGAAAGTTGTGCTTCATTATTTAGGTTTGATTTATGATTTTGTATTTGCTTTCTGATTATATTTTTTGGTATTATGGTACATTACAAATGCTACTTAGAACTGAAAAGATTGAACCAGAATAAAACTGTAGGCAGTATAAATAAACATTAATATATATATTAATAAGAAGTTCTCTGAAGATAAGAATATCAATACAAAAATGACAATAGGCATTGGCTCGGAAGAATGTGCCCAATTTGTATATATTTATTTCAGTGGAAAATCTTTTTTCCACCTCTATCCTATTTAAAATAATTTTTCTAGGGTTCCTCAAAAACATTCTGATGGACATGCACAGTTATGTCTTCTACAGCCTTTCAAATATCAGGATTTTTATCGTACTGAATTCCTTACCCAACATGACTATTTCTGAGAATGTTTAAAACATTGGAAGAACATTAGACTGGGGAAGGTTGGACTATTCCCCATATAAAGAAGATAGAGTTATAGTGAAGTACCTGAAAGATAGAAGCCATAAACATGACTGAATATATAAGAATTGAAATGCAATCTTTAAAGACTTAACACTCAAGCCCCCTCTCTTGAACAGACAAATCTGCTTAGTTATTTCTGCATCTATTTATTTATGTATGTATTTCTTTATAATCCTATTTTTTTTAGCAAATGCATGGAAAAAATACAATAAGCTTTGATTAGAAAGAAAAAAAAATTATCCCAATCAGTTATGACTGTGAAGTAAAATACATCAAATAAAATCCAGTCTTTCTTATTGTAATTTCCATCTGAACATGGCATGTGCTTATTTAGGATTTCCAGTGGTAAGATGTGTTTTAAAGCTCCCATTGCATTTATGCAAACTTATTTATATTTATGGAGGTAGACAGCTTGCACAAAGTAGTTTTCTTCATCTATATTTCATTAAGGAAGTCATTCAGGCAAAGACACATTTGAAAGACTGTTCCATATATAGCAGCCCCTGAAGTCCCAGAGATCTCAATTAGCGTAACCATACTTTAAGGAAGCCCCTTTCTCACTGGAATATCCAACTACATATCTATAATTAAGCAGATCTATGTACTAGCATTCTTCATTAGAACATAAATCATCATAAAATTCCAAGGAGAAAGCAGACAAAGTGATGGTGATCAAAGAACAGCGTAAGCATGTTGCATTTTTAGTAAAAATCCAACCAAGGAACACAAACATTCAGATTAAATAAGGCATTTTTGATAGAAAAAGAAAATTTATAGCAGTAGCCTACTATACAATATACACAGCCTGGCATTCATGTAGGATTCATGTAGGACATTCATGTAGGACAAGCAAGTCCAATGAGCAGATACGTGCATGCCATAATGAGTAACCTAATACCCTCAAATGTCCAGAACCTTTGGAAGACACTAGGTACCTATCTCTGCTATATAGAGTGTCATTTTTAAGGATTATGAATGAACTATTGTTTCTGTAATTAAGATCTTAGACTTTAAAAGCTGTTATCTGTAACAGGAATAACTGTCTATTAAATCTGATTAAAATTTAACAGTGTGTGTTTTCTTTAACCTTGGCCAAGTAGAGTCTTTGTGAAGCTCAGAAGCAAATCATGGCAACACTTCACTCCTCTTTATTCCTAATATTGTAGGACAAATAATAAATTTCTCTTGAGAGTTCTCTTTGGATTGTATGCTTAAGAAGATATTAGAGCTAATGTATCCTGTAAAACAAATATTATTTAATACATAAATAATAAAAAACTGCAGTTAACAGTAATTGTCAGAAAGGAATATAACAGAATCACAAAATAAATATTCAAAGCATTGTAGAATATAAAAAAGGCCACAAGTCCCAAGATTTTTATAGAGATATACACATACTGATATAATTGTCCTAGTAACGTACCTAGCTACACTTTCAAATGCTTAGAATTGGGCACTGGAATTTTTATCTTTACAAAACATCAGCTACAGCTTCGGGATTTTGGTTCTACATTGCATACCTTATTAAGATTCTTGTGAAATGAAAAAAAAGTCCAAATCCATCACCAAGTTCCATGAACAATATATACCCACTTCAGTAACTCCATTGATGGTTACTCTTTTTCTTGGTACCGAATGTTTCATTTCTACAAACTAAATGACTTATAGAGTAGGACAAATAGTTCCCCAAAGACAGTTAATTAGGCATTGGCTAGGTTTCTAGTTTGCCTAAAGGACAAAAATGATGCTAGCCTTCCAATCTGGTACAATTACCAATGTTAATTAAGGAGGATGATCCCTGGTAATTGGACATCTGGAGGAAGAGTTTCATACTTTTTTTTGTTGTGTTGTTTTTAATTATGGTTTAGTAACCTTTTGGAAATACAACAGAGGGATATTTCGTTGTTGCTGCTACAGCTGTTGCCCTTGCATCAAACTTTGTAGCTCAGGGTTTTGTCTTTGAATTATTTAATCCAGATTTGCTTTGCCAGAAGACAGTGCTGAAAAATGGTGGCATTGGGTTTCACAATGATCTATATTTCCTTCCTTCCTCCCTGCCATGCTTTATCTCTGCAAAATAGTTTTTTTTTTTTGTTTCTTACCTCTTTATAATGACTACTTTCAGACTTGACTACAAATGAAGACTAAAAGTAAAGTAAGAATTGTGCAAATAGTGAGCAGTTTCTCTTTGTGAGAATAAGAAGAGTCAGAACATATTCTTTACTGCAGGAGTTCACAACAGGGGTGGAATCCAGCAGGTTCTGACAGGTTCTGGAGAACCGGTAGCAAAAATTTTAAGCAGTTCGGAGAATCAGTAGCGGAAATTTTGAGTAGTTTGGAGAACCGGCAAATACCACTTCTGGCTGGCCCCAGAGTGTGGTGGGAATGGAAATTTTACAATATCCTTCCGCCAGGAGTGGGAAGGGATTGGGGATTTTGCAGTATCCTTCCCCCAGGAGTGTGGAGGGAATGGGGATTTTGCGGTATACTTCACCCTGGAGTGGAGTGGGAATGGCTATTTTGCAGTATCCTTCCTTTGGCATGCCCACCAAGCCAGGCTCACCCAGCCATGCCCACAAAATTGGTAGTAAAAAAATTTGGATTTCACCACTGGTTCACAACCTCCAGGCCGTGGTCCATTACCAGGCTGTGGCCTATTCGCAATCAGTCTTCACAAGCAGCAGCCAGGCACATGTGCATGCAGCTCAACTTGCATGAGTGGTGGGCTGGCGCACGAGCGCACAAGCACATAGGTCAACTTAACACAATTCTTCTGCTTTAGAGGTATGAACTCTCTATGGCTTTGAATATCTTAATAAAAATCCCTGCCTTACATTTTTTTTTTGTAAAAAGTTTTTTATTTTTTAAATACAAAGATAATCATTCCATCTTTCCTTATGCAGTTTATCGTCTGGGTACAAACAAGAGCAAACTGAATATTATATGATATGGGAAGTATTTTATCAATGGTTGGAGAATAAAAATGGAGTTTGGAAATGAAAAAACGAAATGAAGAAGACTAAAGAATAGGTAGAAAATATATTAAGATAGAGATATAAATAAGATAAAAATTGTTAGCATGTGTATGAAGGGAATAATATTATTTGATGTTAATATGGTATCATTACTAAAAGATACTAAGAAGAAAATGGAGAGTTTTACAATATTTAAATGTTTAATATATTCTAATATTAATGTTATCGTGAATGTGAAAGATATGACAAATGAGGAACGATGTAGCAAAAATCCCTGCCTTACCTTAACAAGGGTGATATGTGTTAGACATTATACATTTGTTTCTGGGAAAAATCATGGCCAAAAAAGTGTTTGTAAATATGGACAAATGTCAAATGGCTTAAATAATTACATCAGATTTTTCTGATTAAGTCAGAAATGTTTTTCACATACATCCCATTCTTATTATGCATGTAAACATCTTAATAAATGGACAAGGTTAAGTTTGTTAGTAAGCACTAGTTATTAATATTTCAAAATATGTATACATTTATTCTGACTGGGTTCAGTGTTCTGTGGAGTGAAAGAATTTTGTGACTAAATAGTTTAATATTCAACCATGTTCATGATTTAACTAGTGCATTAATTGCTAACATAATTAACAAGAAAATGAGGTGATTAATTGGTGAAGTAAAAGTTAAATAATGAGTTAATATGTGAAGAGTAGGGCTTTATTTAATACTATTTTCCCAGCATGTAACTGTACTTAATGAAGAACAACACAATTTAAACCAGTGGTGGGTTTCACTTATCTTTGCTACTGGTTCACTCATGCGTGCATGCTTGGTTTGCTCGCTTGCGGGTCACTTCTGCACTTCTGCACATGCGCAGAGCATATTTGCGCACTGAGTGGGTGGGCGGAGCCTCCCGTCACCGCTACTACAGGTTCTTCTGAACCGGGGCGAACTGGTAGCAACCCACCACTGATTTAAACCTTAAATATTCATTTCTATGTATATATCTTTTCCCATCTCTTAGAAGGAATACGTATTGAAATATTATAAATTTACACGTTTATTCAACCCTAACAACCTATTAATTGGTAAAATTAAAATAAACTAAAAACCAAGTTTTAATTTTCAATTTGCAGACAACCAAAAATGTCCCAGGGAATTTCAAAAGGGAAAAATGAGTAATAGCTCAATAGAGCTGAACAAGGGAATCTTCTTTTTCTGTTTTTGCCTTTATTAAATTAAATGGAACAGAAAGGAAAAGAAAAATCCTACCAAGATCATTTTGTAAATATGATTTCTTCCTAAAATGTAATAATTGTAAACAATAAAAATGTTAAAAGACAGCTTCCCATTGCTCTGACTAAGTGGGAATGTTCAATTCCTTGTCCCTCTAAAATGTGCATATCAAATTGACTTATTGATTAAAAAAATATCTAAGACTCATTGTGAACTTTTTTTGTTTAATATGATTTAGTAATCACATCTAATAATTTAGATGTCTCCAAGGCTGAAATGTTTGAGACAAATCAAGATGTCAGTAGATGGAGCTGAAAATATTTCCAGAAAGCAATGGTATTCATTCTTTAACATGAGAAATGATAAAAACTTACCTTTATCATTCAAGAATTGATTTAAAATAAAAATCCCACTGTCTATTCAAATCATCCATAAAATAGGTTTCTTGTAAATAGTATCACCCATATTTCCCCACAATGCCAATTTACCATGAGAAAAAAGGCCAAACTGTAATTTTCAGAAATAATATGCTACCATTTCAAAATGGATGTAATGCTGATATAGCACAATAAATATGTCTTCTCTGTTATATTTTGAACCCAAAAAAGCCCAATTAACTAAAGATCGTATACATCAGACAAACAGACATAAAATACAGGTAGTCCTTGAATTACAGTCATTCATTCAGTGACCATTTGAAGTTATGATAGTGCTGAATGAAAGGACATATGACCCGTACCCAAATTATAGCTATTACAGTGTCCCTGTGGTTATGTAATCAAAATTCAGGTGCTTGGAAGCCTGCCTACACCTACAACCACAAGGTTCTTCAAATACCTCACATGCCTGTCTCAGTGGTAGGTTGCTACCGATTCACCCCTGTTTGGGCGAACTGGTAGCGGCAGCGGTGGGAGGCTCACCCAGCCACCCGGACATCTCACGGATGCTCTGCCCATGCGCAGAAGCTTCTGTGCCTGTGCAGAAGCGTTACGCGTTCCCAATAGCAAACTGGTAGTGAAGGTAAGTGAAACCCACTACTGTCCTGTCTTCTTTATACCATTTTGGTCCTCTCCACCCTGTGGTCTACAGCCCCAGCTGGCCTTCACTCTCTTCTAGCTCCCAATGCTGCTGCTGACGCGTGCCTGGCTTGGCCCTTCATGCCAAGAAGCTGCTTTGTACCATGCTTTTGGGCCAGCCTGAGGTGAGCCTTCCTGTTGTGCCAGAGATCTGGGCTTGCTTGCTTGCTTGCATCTTGGTTCTGATTCTTGCAGTACCCTGGACTGGGGTGCAGCTTTCTGGTGCACTGCAAGAAGCAGAAGCAAGCAAGAAAACAAATAAGAAGCATCCCTGATCCATCATCTGCCAGAAGGATCTGTCCCAGCCTGGACAGCAGGGGTATCAGGGTTCTTCAAAGAAGTGAGGATGACTGCAGTTGGGATTGGGCAGGGGCAGCTATGGTTTCCCAGCGCATGGCAAGAAGCCCCATAGCCATGTGCTTCTGGGGTTACTTTTTACTGTGCAAATAGGGTGCAAGTGAACCAAAGTAAAGATAAGGGGAAAAATAGACCTCTTGGGGAGTTGGAGACAGATCTTTACCTTACTGAGGCACAGGGCTCAGCTTCGAGGGACCAGGTCATGGGATGTCTTGGATAGAGGTAACTACACACTTAACAACCCATAGTTCTAAGGTAAAGATAGGAGCCTGTAGTACAGTGGACTAAAGCACTGTTATTAACATCTGCTGCTTGCAATTACTGCAAGTTCAAATTTTACCAGGCTCAAGGCTGACTCAGCCTTCCATCCTTTCAAAGGTAGGTAGAATGAGGACCCAGATTGTGGGGGCAATAAGCTGATTTTGTATAAATATACAAAAGTATGAAGGCTATTGCTTAATGCATTGTAAGCTGCCCTGAGTCTCCAGAGAAGGGTGGCATATAAATTAAAGCAAAAAAAATAATAATAAAAAGATGGCAATTAGGACTGCTAGGATAGCAATCCCTAAGCAATGCAGTCCCGTAACATCTTAACTTTACCGTTGCATCACATAGCAAAGGAAATTCCAGTTTCAATTGTGATCATAAGTTGAGGGTTACCTGTATTATCTTTCTTTGTATTGGCAAGAAATTTGTTCATCACCCATTTTAATTTAATGTACTATATCTTAATCACATGTACTATTTTTTAATGTACTATATCTTAATCACATGTCCTTAAGCGTGTGAGAAATAAATGAATTTCCAGCAGGACAAATATAATTTCTTTCTCACCCTGGATGTTTTCCTCCCAAATCTGATACCTTGTCACTTTAAGAGAATCTTGACTCAGCAATCTGAAAAGATTTTAATAACATATAAATTAATTATTTTGGCTTCTTATCAAACAGTTAATTTGCTTTTGTTAATGAGTTGTGATTTTCGGATTCTGTTAATAAATGTTTTATGTCTAGAAAATTGGGATAGTTCATAATGTTTATTATCTGAGTATATGAAGACCATTAGAGTGACAGACTATTTTTCCTCTATTCTGTTAAACCCATCCAGAATCTGATCTACCAATAGATTATTCTCAGATTTTTATGCACATGGACTCAATTTTCTTTCAAATGATAAGACACTAAAATAATGGACAACCTTTGAGAATATCCAGCAAGCAAGAAAGAAGCCAGCTCTGGATGGAGCTTGACAGCTGAAAGGAAAATATTTTAAATTAAAAACAACAATAGTGAGAAAGTAATATCCTGATGAATGATTTATACAAAACAGAAAGCAATTCCTGCATGTCTCTATCATTAAAACTGTTCTAACCAGAAGAAGGGTTCCAATAGATTAGCAAGCTGTTTACTGTGGATAATAAACAAAATAAGCTCTTCTTTCATTTCAGAGGGGATTTTTCCTCCTAAAACTATTTTTTACCAATTTAGGTTTTAGAAAAATGAAATGGAAGCAGAATAATAATCACAATACCAGAACACGGGATGATGAGGAAATATCTCTGCAAGGTTTATCACCTGATTATCATTCAGCAGTGACTTCTGCAGAGTAGCAATAATGGATGCACAGCACATATAAACAATAATAATGAAGAAGCCATTCATGTACAAAACCATTAAAAGCTACTTCCAAGCTGGCACTCCTCTTGCAGATGTTTAATTCATAAGAAAGTTGCATTTGCAATTACCTTTAAAAAGCAACCTATTTCTTTTGCAAAAGAGAATTTTAAAAACCGTACAAAAATCTACAAAATGGTTTGATAATGTTAAGGAGAAATGTATGTTTGGGGAAGGGGTGGGTTCTACTGGTTCGCATCACGCCCGTGCATGCTCTTCTGCGCATGCGCAGATCACTATGATGACATCCAGGTCAGTGGGCAGAGCCTCCCGCTGGTTTTACTACCGGTTCTTGCGAACTGGTCCGAATCGGGGGCAACCCACCACTGGTTTGGGGTATAAACAGTGGTGGTATTCAGCTGGTTCAGACCAGTTCATGTGGACAGGTAGTAATAATCTGCGGGTGGGGTGCCCGCCCCAGCGCTATGCCGTCCTATTTAGTCACATTTTCAAAGCCATGTGCATGCGTTCAAACCGCACACGTGAGCAAAACAGATGCGTGGAAGGCCGCATGCATGTGCACATTCACATTTACAGTGCATTACAAACTGGTGGTAAAATTATGTGAAACTCACCTCTAGGTATAAAATAACCCAAAATAAGTTAACAATCGAGGAAGACACCTTTCAAAGATATGGATTCAGTAAACCCATTTCAGTTGGTATATATTCTGATTAAGCAATCTGGACTAGCAACAATAATCCATGTTTTCATTGCATCACATCTAGCCTGCTAAAATACACTATCTATATTGGTACCTTTTCAAGGGTATCCAGAAGGCAAATTTCACCCTTTGACTGTTAACTGGTAAGCACAAAGCAGTGGTGGGTTGCCCTCGGTTCGGACCGGTTCGCAAAAACCGGTAGTAAAACCAGCAGGAGGCTCTGCCCACTGATCCAGACGTCACCATAAGTGATCTGCACATGTGCGGGCACGATGCGAATCGGTAATAAAGGTAAATAGAACCCACCCCTGGCACAAAGGCATATATGAAAAAACCTCTGGATGAAGCCACAATAATCCAGTATTCTGTGTCAGTCAGGTCCATAAATAGACCAAGCCTCCCTTCCAATGTGACTTCCCATCAACCAGGAATTAAGGCATATTGCCTAATCCTAACAAGCTATAGACAACCATAAATACTAATAGCCATTGACAGGCTGTCAGTCCATGAGTCCCTGCAGTTCCCTTTTAAAACCACCATTACACAACTACTGGAAGTAACTTCAATGGTTGAATTGTTTATTATATTAAAAAATGGTATTTCTTGTTAGACCTATCCTTGGTATTTAGTTTCAGTGAAAGATGAATGATTTGGAGTTCTAACACTATTAACGAGGGAGAAAAAAATTCTCTCTCTACATTATCTCTGTTTACATAACTTTACAGTATATGCTTTGGTTATGCCTCACTTCCCTGCCTTAATTCTAAGCAACATCTTAAGTGCTGTAATTCCCTTATGTAAAAGAGTTCTTTGAGGTCTATGGAGATTCTTAGTCATCCAGGTCATGGTTGTTCCAAAGTTGCTTTTTCAAAAGGCAATTGGTCTTTCTTTGTTTTTGCTAGAAGACATTTCACTTCTCATCCAAGAAGTTTCTTCAGTTCTGAATGAATGGTGGAGAATAGAAGGATTTATATTCCTTGCAGTCATCTGATCAGTTCTTTGGGGGTATTTTCCTCTGAAACTTTGGCCATTAATATGATTTGATAAACTTTATCAAAAACCTAGTTGCTGATATGGTCAGAGAATGGGATTTGCTGAGCTCCCATTTCCTATTTGGGGCACACAAATCACCTTTGGACACTGGGAATTGTCCTCCATAGTTTGACCTACAAGATAGACCAGTCATCTGGATGCTTTTGCATAAGCTAAATGCCTGACCAGTACTTTATGTGGGTTCCTTAAAGTGCACATGTTTAGCACTTTAACAAAAATAGATCCATTTTTTAAAACATGAATTAAGTGCTTTTTGGAAGGAAGGTAGAGCCAGTTTGGTATAGTGCTTAAGGCATTAGAATATAACTTGAGAGACTGTGAATTCTAGCCATGCTTAGGCATAAAGCCAGCAGGGTGACATTGAGTCAGTCACTTTCATTTAGCCCTAGGAAGGTGCCAATGTCAAACCACTTCTGAAAAACATTACCAGAGAAACTGCAGGATTTGTACAGTCGCTTTCTGAAATTATAAATGATTTGACAGAAGATTGTGGTTTTGTTTTGTTTTTTAAAGAGGAGGAGGAGGAGGCTCTTTTAAAAGAGGGATTAACCTTCATTCTAAGGTATCCTGACCCAAAATCTCAGATGGAGGAGGGGGAATGGAGTTGGGCACATTCACAGAGATATCAACAATATCAAAACAGGGCGAGTGAAACATTTTTTCCCATATACAATGCAAGCAATGCAGGTTAAAAATGCATTGGCTCACCTGATCATGCCAACTATTTTGATTCTGTTAACACTCACCCACTCCCAAAAGACACCTAATTGGGGCCATTCACAAATCACCTTAATTAACCCACATTAAATCAGTAAGAATAACACTTTGAATGCTTCATTTAAATAGGAAAATCCAAGGACACCTTGAAATTTGATTTTAGGCAAAATATGATGGCAATTCTAAAAGACAGCAAATAGCTCAACTTATTTTTAATTGCAGTGTCTACATTTAGTAGCTCAAATGTTGGACAAAATGGGACTAAAGAGGTAAATTAGCTGTGTATAATATTCTTTTAATACTGTAGTTCAGATTATGCACTGTTAGTTATCCTTCAAGAAATTACACATTTCATAAACCTAAGACACTTGAAAGTTCTCCTTTTAAAAACTGAAAGGCAATGTCAGGAATTATAGTCACAATTCTTTGTTCATATAACTTTTTTCACATCTGTAGTGTACAGGCAAACTCTCAGTCCACAAGCTGTTCCCTATCTAATATCCATTCAGGCATTCACCCAAACCTGGGTTACATGCAGTGAAAACCTATATTAACACCAGAGGTGGGTTTCAGCAGGTTCTGACCAGTTCTGGAGAACCGGTAGCGGAAATTTTGAGTTGTTCAGAGAACTGGTAAATATCACCTCTGACTGGCCCTACTCCCATCTATTCTCTGCCTCCTGAGTCCCAGCTGATCAGGAGGAAATGGGGATTTTGTCCCCATGGAGTGGGGAGGGAATGGAGACTTTAAGTATCCTTCCCCTGGAATAGGGTGGGAATGGAGATTTTATTGTATCCTTCCCCTGTCATGTCCACCAAGCCATGCCACACCAAGCCATGCCAGAACTGGTAGTAAAAAATTTTTAGTCCCACCACTAATTAACACCATAGATTTACTCAAAATATCTGAATAAGCAAGCGGGGAGGTCATAATATCTGTAAAATCCAAGTTTCAAAGGGTGGAAGATAGAAACAAATTGCTGGAACTTCAGCCCTACACCCCGCCATCTTAAAACAAACAAAAATTGAAAGAAATAGCCAGAGCTGTAAAAGAAAGCAGATAAAATAAATAAAGAAAGAAATAACTTTATTGGTATTGTACATGTATACACAGTATACCCATACAACAAAATTCACTTAACACCCAAAGACCAGGTCCAATACACATAACAATCCCCAAACACACTTCCACTCACCACAATTCCCCATCCCTAAACCACCCAAACATCCACACAATAGACCAAGTAATACTGTCCAACAGCTCACTGATGGTGGCCCTTTAGTTCATTGTTGAGTGCAATTATAGCTCTGGGATAAAAACTATTCAGAAAACATGTAGTCCGAGTTTTAATTGTTCTGTATCTTCTGCCAGAAGGCAACGGTCCAAAAAGATTGTAAGCAGGATGGGAAGAGTCTCTGAGAATGTTATGCAACTTTCTTAAACAGCAAGATTCGAAGATGTCTTCCAGGGCTGGTAGCTGGAGTCCGATGATTTTCTGGGCAGTTTTAATGATTTTTTGTCCACTACAGAGCTGCTCCCATACCATGCAAGAATGCTGTATGTCAGATGACCTCATAAGAACCATGGAGAAAGACAGAAAAAGAGAAAACATAAAGAAGATAAAGACTTGGTGTTTCTCATGGTTTGGGTGAGCTAATATCCAACAGAAGAGTTAAGGGTCTCTGGGCTGGAGGTGAGATAAGGGACCAAACCATGACTCAAATATTTCCAAGCAATCAACAGGAGCTAAGATGAAATATTTCTTAAGCTTCGATTGAACATTGCAATCTGTAAGAGAAAGAAAAGCTAGCTTGAGAAGTGAGTTATCTATTGTGTCTAAATTCTTTGCCAGGATTTCTGTTCAAATGAGTTTGTTTTCAATGGATGCTAGCCTGCCTAATGTATGCTGATATTTTGAATTTATTTCCCAATTGTTTCCAAGTTGATTTTGTAACAGAAATTCATAATCTTTATATAAAATCCATTCCATTTCCATGTAAAGATAAAATATCTGATGGTTTTTTTTCTATAAAAGATATGTTTCTGTTATAAATTGGTATTTTAGAAATGGATTTATGCACAAGAGAATGTGAACCGTTCGACTCACTGTCTGTAATTGTTTGGAATGATGATGGTTTTATGTTTTGTTTTTGTTTTAAAATAAAAAATTTTCTCAAAAAAATAAAATAAAATCCATTTCTATATGCTATATTCCATCTAAGCTACTTTAACCTCTAATCCTCTAAACTATGTGAACTGTATGCAATAATATAACTTTTAGTATTGTGCTAGCAATCTGATTCCCGTAGTCTTAATTTTGTACTGCAGCAAAAGGATAAAAATGTTATACCTAAATATTCTAATTGAAAGAAAAAAGTTTTATAATGATAAAAAGGGACAACTTGCATGAGTTATCGAGAAGATATTCAAAAGCCTTCAACTTCAAGCTTTTAAAGTTTAAAGCACTTTTTTTTTTTAGATTTTAGAAGGTACATATTGACGTCCTTAGAGGTTAATTGAGCTTCTCAACTGGAAAAAAAAAGGATTTTTCTATTCATATCTCATTTGCATGCATTCTTAGCATCATATTCTTCTCATTAGGAAGCTGTGAACTTTAATAGAAGCAGCACTCTTTCAAAAACATATCAGATGAAAATTTTGTTACAAAAAAATATGCCAGAAAGTATGCAAGGTTTAATTGGGCAATTGAACCCCTGATTCTAAGTATAAGATGGAAGTTCTCTAGATATGCTTTAAATGAATTAGGTGCTGAACATTAAAGCATTATTTTATTTTTGTCAGAGACTCTTATTCCCTGCAGGAGGTGGTACATTATTCAGTTCATTCATGGTAATGGGTTTCATTTTAAATTGCTATGGAATGTGTTGTCATGTAACTTTTGCTTCAATTCTTTTTTTGTTTCACTTCACTTCCTTGAAAAAATTAAGACAGGGATTTGCTGAAGGTAATGTGGACCCAGAGGTGGACTTCCACAATGTTTAATGAGCCCAGTGCCTCTTCCACTAGGATGTAAAAATATGTCTTCAGTTATGAATGAGCCAGTCTACCTCCAGATGAACTGAAGCTTGATGAACTGCTTCTCCCCACCCACCCGCCCAAGAGTTAAGAGAACTGGAAGTAGACCAAGGTGAATTTCTCTCTCCATTGCTAGCTCAATAAATTGATGATCCCTAATTCATATGAGCAGAGCTGACCTTTCCTAACGTATTACTATGAGCCTGGAGCTCCCTTGCAAATACAACAGAGCACAATTTATATAGACCTTGATGTTGTTGGTCCCAAAGTTAGAAGCTGATCATCCATGATTTCTGCAATTACAGGCAATGACATAAAGCAATCCAGAATGTAATTCTTTCTTGAGAAGTTAATATTCATGAATACATTGGAGATTTTGAAAACAGTAATTGCAGAAAGTTTTAAATTTTGATGGCTTCAGTTAATGGATCAGAAACAAGAACAAATTATAAAGAAAGTGGAAACTGGTGCAAATCTTACTAGTTTGTTTTCCTTTCTGAATGTTGAGTGGTTATGAGAGATCTATGCATTTTCTAGGCACCAGTATATGAGATACCCAGCTTGTCTATAATACAAAGTGTTTTCAGTGGATGGCCATTACTGGGCCATTTTTACATGCCTGGGGTGATACTGACATAATGCCATGTGGATAGGTCAAAAGTAGTGGTGGGTTGCTACCGGTTCACCTAGGATTGGGCGAACTGGTAGCGGCAGTGGCAGGAGGCTCCACTCACCCGCCCAGATGCTTCTGCGCATGCGCAGAAGCGTTGCATGCACAAGCGCATGAACACCCACGAATGAACCAGTAGCGATGGATTTTGAAACCCACCCCTGGTCAAACAGATTCAGATTAAATCCCTGCAAAATGAAATTGTCATTTGTTAGGGGTAGAACTGGCTTATCTCTGTTCTTGTTTTAGCTCTTGACAAGGTCAGGTTCCCTATCAAAAGCAAGCCCACAATGTCAGGGGTCCTCCGGTACTCCAGTAATTGGAGCAGTAGATAGAAGATATGGTTGGGGAGATGTTTTGCCAAGCTCCAGCTGATGCACCAAGTGTAGGACTACCTAGATTGAGATACCTGATGACAGTGATTCAAATGCCCTACATTCTACTGTCTTTGAAGATGATATGGAAGCTTTAATTAATCCAAAGTGCAGCAACCTATTTGCTAACCTGAGGCTGATTCAACCACATGGAGCTTAATGGTATTTGGGCTCCAATTAGAGTGTTCTTTCTTTCTTTCTTTCTTTCTTTCTTTCTTTCTTTCTTTCTTTCCTCTTTCTTTCTTTCTTTCTTCTTCTTTCTTTCTTTCTCTCTCTCTCTCTTTCTCCCTCCCTCCCTCCTTCCTTCCTTCCTTCCTTCCTTCCTTTCTTTCTTTCTTTCTTCTTTCTTTCTTTTCTTTCTCTCTCTCTCTCTTTCTCCCTCCCTCCCTCCTTCCTTCCTTCCTTCCTTCTTTCTTTCTTCCTTCCTTTCTTTCTTTTTCATGTAATAAAATGTCCTTGGTCCTTCAGAAGCGGGATTACAAATCCCATATAATGGACAGTCAGTCTCCAAATCAAACTAATGACAGTTCAGAGATCAGGTATCATAGAAGAACACAGAGTGGGTTTATGGTAGATTACTGTGTGAAAAGACGCAAAGTCCTGATTCAGGTAATTAAAGCAGAAAGACATTCAAAAGATCTGGAAAATCAAGACAGCACAACAAAACTGATATTATATATTATTCTACTAAAAAGAACGTTTTTAATGTTTCTGTCATCAGAACCTCATTCATCATTAATTACAGAATAATCAGCTACAAGAGCTACAAGACATCACCATACAGCAGATGTATTACTTCCATGAAAATTTTCTTTTAAATTAAAGATGTTTCCCTTTGCACTTACAGTCATTGTCATTTGGAGACATCAGCAAGACTTCAATTCTTGGTCTAGGATGCCAGGATCCCAAATCAATAGTTAGGACTAGATGCTCACAAAGGTGATTCAGTGTTACTTTCCTGTTGGACCAGATTGCAAGGAATTTCATTGTTTTCTGGGGATATTTCCATTGGGCTCATGATAGCAATCCTGGCATGGAGAAGATGGATCCACAAATTCCTAAGATTGATATAAGAGCTACAAAAGCTATATTTACTCATTATAGTAAATATTATAGTAAATACTAATTATTCCCATACCAACATGATTATTCTACATATAACATGGAATCACGAAACTTTAAATCTGTATCAAGACATCAAGAGGATCTAAAATAAAGCCATCCATGAAGATGGGCATTAGTACAAGTTACTTGTACTTAAAAGAATGATGAATCGTGAAAAATACAGAAATGAAGTATGGAGCGTTTGTGTCTTACATCCAATAACCAGCAGAAATTTAAAAATAGCAATAAGTCATTAGCTTATATAAAGAGATACTCTCTAAATATACATTTGTTTCCTTTTCTGGAACTTCCAAAATCATGTAAATATTATTCTCTTTTTTGCCAATATTCTCTATATTTAATCTGGCATTATTGTTATAGTCAAGATTCTCAGTAATTTATTATATATCTTGGTTTTGCTGTAGGGAAACAATAACCACACTATAACCTATGGAATGAATATGCCTGTCAATACCAATTTTGCAGTCCAGAGCATCCTTAGATCATGCTGCCAAAATTCAGTAGTAAATCTTCTGATTTTTGATCCCTTGGTTTCTTCCCCCTCTTCTTCTTTTGGATAAAGGCAAAACCTAAGACACCTAAGTGCTCCACGTAGTAGCCCTTCATTTCTACTTCATCTAGACAAGCCAAAATATTGAATTCCTCTATCTCTACAATCAGACACATTAAGCAAAAATCTCTGGAAAAGGCTTTGATTCTGGGAATGGTAGAAGGAAAGAGAGGAAGAGAATGACCAGCCACAAACTGGATGGACTCAGTTACGGTAGTGATAAGTGCACTTTGGGAGATCTAAAATAACAGACTAGGTATTTTCTTCATGAAGAAAATCTATCTATGTGGTTGTTAGGATTTGAAAAAGGACTTGGTAGCACATTATCTTTCTCTATCCACCCATCTAAGATCTACAGTCTCTCTCTCTCTCTCTCTCTCTCTCTCTCTCTCTCTCTCTCTCTCTCTCTCTCATCTATCTATCTCTATCTATCATCTATCTATCTATCTCTACCTATCATCTATCTATCTATCTATCTATCTATCTATCTATCTATCTATCATCTATCTATCTATCTCTATCATTTATCTATCATCTATCTATCTCTATCTATCATCCATCTGTTTATCTATCTCTATCTATCTATCTATCTATCTATCTATCTATCTATCATTTATTGATCAATCTATCTATGTAGGTCTTTGGTTATTCAGGTTTTCTCCCGCGTAAAATTGGAAGTGTCTTGGCGACATTGTGACGAAGTCTCATTCGTCATCTTCAGGCTGGTGTTTTCGGCTTCGTGCTTCTAGGAGCAATGTGTGATCGCAGCTGTTTCTTCCTTTTAATCTATCTATCTATCTATCTATCTATCTATCTATCTATCTATCTATCTATATCTTCCTCTGCAATGTCATTATGTCAGCAGTCCAACCTCATTGAACTCTTTGAAACCAGGTAAGAAATTCTCCATTATTCCTTTTGCCCAGAGGATAAAACATCTAATTTT